GTATGTCAAGTATGATCTTTCTGTTACCGGTTTGGTTCAGCAACTAATCAAGGGTTAGTTCTAATGAATTAAATGATGATTCAGGTGGAGACAGTGATGTTGAAGATTCTACGGTTTGATTTATGTTGTCCTTTTTTTCTGTATGAGAATCCGTTATTTTCCATGCATAAAACTGAAATGGGAGTAGTATAGGCTTAATTAAGGCACATTTTTAATTTATAAAACTCTGTATATTTGTTCTAATCAATGTTATGTTTTAAGGGGGCTTTACTAAAACAACTTTACAAAGTTGATTTTTTGACAAAAATGATGTTATTCTTTAAAAATTATTCAAACAACCTTAAAAAACTATTAATACACGTTTTAACCTTATTTCATTTGAAGAGAAAAAAACGTATTTACGAAAATGCCATTAATGAGGCAGCGAATAAGTCTACCGTTCATGTGATGGTAGATTTATTTGCGATTGGTAGATTTATTAAGTGGTTGGTAGATTTATTGATGGTTCGCGCAATGGTARAYTTATTTATAGTAGTGGTAGATTTAKAAWATGTGGTAGACTTATTTGTAGTAGTGGTAGAGTTAATTTTGTGATCGGTAGACTTATTTTTAGTGGTGGTAGAGTTAATTTTGTGATCGGTAGACTTATTGATGGTTCGCGCAATCGTAGACTTATTTACAGTAGTGGTAGATTTATAATATGTGGTACACCTATTTATAGTCGTGGTAGTGGTAAATTTATAATATGTGGTAGACTTATTTATAGTAGTGGTAGATTTATTTTTGAGTGATAGACTTATTAGTAGTAGTGGTAGAGTTAATTTTGTGATCGGTAGACTTATTGATGGTTCGCGCAATGGTAGACTTATTTATAGTGGTGGTAGATTTATAAAATGTGGTAGACTTATTTGTAGTAGTGGTAGAGTTAATTTTGTGATCGGTAGACTTATTTCTAGTGGTGGTAGGGATAATTTGTGATCGGTAGACTTATTGATGGTTCGCGCAATCGTAAACTTATTTATATTAGTGGTAGAGTTATAATATGTAGTAGACTTATTTATTGTAATGGTAGATTTATTCAATCTTTTCACTTTTCTACTAAAACAATCTTAAACTTGTTTACAGTAGTGGTAAATTTATTTATAGTAGTGGTAGATTTATAATATGTGGTAGACTTATTTATATTCGTGGTAGTGGTAGATTTATAATATGTGGTAGACTTGTTTATAATAGTGGTAGACTTATTTATAGTGGTAGATTTATTCAATAAAGGGTAAAATCGTAATTTACATTTCATCTTCTCCACAAAACACCAAGCTTTTCTCAAACCCTAACAATGGCGGCCAGCCATTTTTTAGCTCGTTTTTACTGTATTTTAATTCGTTTTCAACTAGATTTTGCCTAAAACTAGTAGATCTAACATCATATATCTCTTTTCTAACAAAAAATCAAAAGATTTTGAGTTTTTTTCCAATTTTTGATTTTTAATCTGATTTTTACCTAAATCCCGGCCTCCACACCTCCACCGAGCATGATCCGGTGTTTCTGCAGCCTCCGCGGCTGCGGTTTCAAACAAATGTTTGATTTTTTTTTTGCAAATTATGAATGGCATTTTCGTAATAAAAACTTGTTACTAAGGTTTATTTGTCTTTTATAATCTGTGTTGAGTTTCAAGGTTGAATAAAAGTTGTTCTAGTAATTAACGGGTCGTTTACAGAATAAGACACTTTAGTATAAAATCTTTACAATAAAAGGTACTTTGCACAACAAGGTGATTTTTCCCTTGTAAATTGTCCAATCTATCCCTCAAGTAACATATTTAGTTACTTATTCTTGACTAGTTTTTAACATCTCAGTAACTAGAAGTTTTTATTTTAGTTTGTGTAAAAAAATTTATTTTCTCAGATCGACTTTTCAGTTACTTTTTTTGTACAAATCCTAAAATTACAGATCTAAAAATTAATCTGGAGAATTTCAGTTGTCGACAACAACTCCGTCAGGGTACAACCTTCGATTTTGGGATCTCCATCGTCCGCCGTTGGTGATTTCGACATCTCCGTCGTCGGTGTCGGAGTCATGGGTTAAGTAATCACGTTGAGCTAAATCATCGAGGAAGAAAAGTGTCGACCCTCAACACCGGTGGATCTTTTGCTTCTCCTTCTTAGAGTTAAGAAGACGAAATTTTTTCGGCGGATCTTTTGCTTTTGTCTTCAAGCTATGAAGATTTGATTTGTTCATGAATCTCGACGATGAAACGAATCTGAAAGCAAAACAGATTTAGAAGACAGCCCACGAAAGAAACTACTAAAAGATAAGGGGACTCGAAAAACGTGAACTTTGTGATGGGACTCTGCGAAGGCAGTGAATTGTTTGATAGAATCGTGAGGAAATGTCACAGTAGCGAGAGAGAAGCTGCTTTTCTACAAACAATGTCTGGTTTTGGGATAATTCCTCCGTAATTCATATTCTTCTTGACTATTATCCATGATTGGTGTCAATGTTTTAGAGAAACTTTGGTTTGGTTGGTGATGTTATCAGTATTTGGTTTCTGCATTTGTTAAGTCATTCTTATGAGAAAAAGCCTCATATGTTATGTGAGACGGTACAGAGGTATGTGCATTCTACATGGTTTGATCTTGTCTTCACGATTTCTTCGTCAACACCCGAGGCGATAATAATTAGTCACTTTGTCTTRAAGTTTTGCTATCAATTTAGCTTTGTTAAACCAATGTTAATCTTTGTATCCATTACACTATRTCCACAAATAGTTGCTCATGCTAGTTTTCATGATTATAAGYTTCTTGATCAGAATRGTTTCATTTGATGAGAAGAAAAAGAGAGAAGAGATAAGGGAAACTAGAATGTAATATTTCCATACGACCTAWGAACAGTGTTCGGTGGACATGACAGTGTGGCCAGTGTTCGGAGATAGCATGTATCCATTTGGTCATGACGGTGTGGTCAGTGCTTGGGGATAACCTATATCCATTTGGTCATGACGTTGTGGTCAGTGTGTCCATAGGAAGAAGAATGTGTGGAACATAAATCTACCCTATTATCATGCCTACACATAACCATTTCCCAAGACTTTTGAAGACCACACCTAAGCCATATTGCAATAAGATGTATTGCAAATGTCCCTTAACAGGTAATTGAAGAAACAATCACCATATGGAACATGGTCAAGAAATCGGGGAATACAATAATTCCAGTGTGGATAGTGGAAACAATMACATGGACACGATCTCGTGGACGCAATCGTTACAAATGTTGAAAACCAGAGAAAAGCTTTGATATCCACATAGACATATCCACGATGAGGAAGAAAAAAAAATGGTATGATCAAATTGCGATAGAAAATGCGATAAATATTTCAAATATRTTTTACATTAAAGTGTACTAATTAGAAACGCAATTCTCACTAACATGAATAGAAATTCAATTTTCAAATTAGAAATCYTTTTGCCAATTATCACTTACATGATTCATTGAATTGGTACACCAAATCATGATTCCCAATTGCAATTTTGTGTTGATACAATAGGTGATCGTTTCAGTTGTTGCTTGAGTTTGTTCAAATTCAAGAYATTTCCAGAAGAATTTACAAAGTACATTGTCCATATGACCACTATAAAATTGGTCAGAGTTTAGTGGATATCATCACGTTATCCATATGGACAAATATGAATGTTCATAGTTTTATGGATAAGTAATTCGTGATCACGATGGTTGCGATTGATCTCATTGATCAAAAGTCGGTTTTGATCTAAAATGTCTTGAGTTTGAAGCCGTCTCTGTCTCATCGACTTGATAAAATCAAAACAGGAGGATTTTATGTTCCTTGCGTAATCGATCTGATTTCATGTAAAGAAGACCACCTTACACGCCAGCAGAGATTTTAGAAGAACTTGGAAATTTTGGAGCAGGCGGTGGTCCGAGCATCGGAGAGAGTCGCCGGAAAAACCTTAAACGGTTTCGAAATTGGAGATCGCACAACACTTTTTTAGAGCTTTAACCAACTTGAAATCGAGAACGAGAAGGCGCAAGGAGAGATCGTAGGRATACAAAGATTTGARAGACCAACTAGAGGTGATTTTTACATATGATTGTCACGATCGATATTGATGGCGGTTTGTTCTTCACGATAAAAAGAGGAGWGCGATATATTCGAGGAAAAAAAGAAMAACTCAATCTCACCCATCTGTTTTTAAGGAAAATCGATGGCTAAGATTATATCAAAGCCAACTACAAAACACARCAACTCTTTTAATGACAGCTACACAATCTGTTTTTATCTAACTATTAATCTGAGCCGTTAAACTTTAATRAATTCGGACGGTTGAGATCGTAACATAAACATCTACTAACAATAGACATCTTCTATCTGAACCGTCAGATTTTAATGAAAATCGAAGGCTGAGATTAAACAATACTCAACTAAGAAGCAAAACATATTTACTCATTCCCACAAGGGTATATTTGTCCGAAAATTCTCGAATCTTGTGCAAAAGTCACTCTTCTTTGCAAAGTACTTTTGTTTGTAAGGTTTGTTTGGGAAAGTGCTTATAGATGTAATTTTCCCGTAATTAACCTACTTTCCAAAGTTGTTTTAGTAATGATCTCATGTTTTAATCAGTAGATTCAATACATGTGTATACATTAAAGAGTTGTAATATCAAATGGTGTCTCGCTGGAATACTGGTGGCCTACGCTGGCCGGAATGGAAGAAAACATTTCCCAGCGCCAAAACAAGCCATGATCAATTGAATTTTCTAACTAGTGGATCAAGGATGAGAGATTTGTTCTGATTTTTCAATCTTAAAACACCAATGAACTCGAGAGAATTGGAACACTGATGCATATCAAGGAGACTATAGTTTCATTCAAGCACTGAGATTGCTGAAAAAAATCGACATTACAAGATGCTATGCTCTTCAGCTCAAAATATATTTAAAATAAATTCTGTGTGTTATTTTTCAAACTAAGCAAAAACTTGTATGATTTTGAAAAAATTTCAGCTTAGAGGTGAAAAAGTTATGATTTTTCTTTCAACCAGGCAAAAAAACTGATGCTCAAAGTACATAACAAAAATGATACTTCAGTATAATTCCACACACCATTGGCTCATGTCAAGACAAAACTCTTGTTATTTGGGTCTGTATGCGTCAACCACAGAACCAGCTTGAGTCTCAATGATTTACGCCAAATTCATCCTCCTTAAGGAGACCCACAAACATTACATTCAAGAAACCCTCGAAGCAGCATCATGAGTCTTAGGCAAATGCGGAGCAAGAGTGCAACGTAATTCTCTTTCTCACACAAAGAGTAACCGTGAAGGAAATTGGGTTCCACAAGCTTTTTTTTCCTTCTTCCTTTTCACCTTCTGAATCTTCCATCTCTTTCCATGACTTCGCTCTCATCTCCCTCGCCTTTCGACCAACTAGATTCCACTATGCACCGATCACAGTCACATCTGAAACCGTAATCCTCAAGCAATCTCTTTTGTCTGCTCGAGTAGTTGATGTTCACAGGGAAGCAGCTTAAACCGACTTCTCTTTCCTCGGGAACATCGTGAATCATCCTTATGATGATATCGGCTCTGTAATTTAATCTACAAGCATTAACACTCATGATGGAAAAATGACGTCTTTGGATATATCCCATAAGAGAAGCAGAGCATTAAGAATCTATATACTCTAATAGGATATATCC